TTCTGTAGATGTAGCTAACCCTTTGTTCTATAATCAAATAAATAAAATTATACTATATAATATTTATTCGAATAGTTTAAGTATAATTAAAAATATATTTACTATTTCAGATGCCCAAGTAGATAACATCATAAAAATAATTTCAATATGATATTCTTTACTTTTATCCATATTTAAACATGCCCGATTATATATATTGCAATGATTTGCAGTACGAATCTTTAAAACACTCTCAGCTATTTGAGTTTCTTCTGCAGTAAGATTAGATACTTTAGGAACTTGATTTTTGCTTTTTGAAGTTTCTAAACAATCATTTTCTAATGTATCAAGTTCTGTTTCGGAATCGATATCCTAAAATAATATGCTATTACTTTTTATTTCAAAGCAAAATAAAATTTTAAATAAATATACCTTTTTTTTTGCTTATTTTTATTTAAATATTGTAAATTAATAGTTACAAATATCCCCATATTAACTTTTCGTAAAGTAAGTTTACGATATTCAGACCAAAATTTCTGAAAATCTTGATCATCTACTAACTGAGTTCCAGCTCCTGTAGTCTTTTCTCCTTTAAAAGTTACATTATAATCGTATGCTTCAATTGATTCATTTTTCGTTAATGCAATTATATTACTATAAATTTCTGCAAGAAATTCATCTATTTCGGATATTGTTACTTTATACCATTTAGTTGGTAAAAATTTTCTATCTAATTTTATGAAAATCTCATTATGAATTTCATATTCAAAATCTTTTTCTGAATCATCTACTTCTTTTGTATCATGTATATCCTCTTCGCTATCATCATTAGATTCAAAAAAATCTAATGGATTTTAAAAACTTTCATCATCCAAAGTAAGATCATATAACTTTGGCTCTAATTTAATTTTTTTAGACACCTGTAATTCAGAAGAAGTTTTGGTATCATTTTTTGTTAAATTAGATGTAAATTTAGACTTGACAAATGATTTTTTTTTAGCTAAATTCAATCTTAATAATCCATTATTGCATCGTGAACAAAGCGAAAGGCTAAAAGAATCTTTTAGAGTTATTGAATAATTATATTGTGATATCTTATCTTGAACAAAAGAAACTTGATCAGCTGTCCAATTTGGTGTAAAAATTCGTGTATACGCATATTTAACAGCTTCAGTTCGATTGTATGAGGTGGTTTTGTAATATCACATTTGCATTTTTGTGTTTGCAAATCAACTCCACAATATAAACACTTTCGACAACTAAAGCAAGTCCCTCGTTTGTATATAAGTTTTGTATCTAATGCATCCGCCATTAATTAGTACGATTATAAAAACAAAATAATATACATTGCAATAATTTGTTTATATAGCGATAATGATAATGATTAAAAATGGGCATTCCGTACATATTAGTGCTTAATTGTAACATGGCTAAAAATATGAAAATCACAACGGGCGTCAATAATTATTTAACTGAAAATATGTGCTGATTAAGCACCTCGCACTGTGATACCCGTCTCTAATAATGACAAAAAAGTTTAATTATTAAATTTCCGATTTCCCGATTCCCCATATGGGTACATGTCACAAAAATCACCTGTTCACACCTTTTTGAAAACAGCTGTAAATTTAGAAAATTTTGAAGATCCATGTGATGGTCGATCATCTGCTGATCACAATAATTTGAAAAGCGCCAATCAAAGGCGTAGATGAAGTGTAACATAAAAATCAAAGCAATTACGTATGAATTTTTGGAGAATCGCCTTTAATTTATAATTTTATCTATGAAGCTTCCTAACAAAAAATTCTTGGCTAGGATGCTTTCTACTTACAATATTATCCAACCTAATCTACTTTAACCAACTAGGAATCGGGAGCCGATATAAGTCCGGAGCTTAAATATAAAGTTAATTATTCTAAAGTGTATAAATAAAATTTGTTCTTGTATTGCAAGGTAACGATTCAAAAGTGTAACGATACGATCAAAAAATGTAACGAACATGTATCAATAAACATGTGAGTAATGTTTTTACTAATTTACCCCCAGGTTTCTGATTGGCTAGATTTGTTTACATGTTATCTTCTTTTTAAAATATGA